CCTGCCTCCCTGAAGCACCAGGTGCTGGAAGATAGAGGTGTGGACAGAGCTCATGAAATAATCCACCAGCTGAGCATCAGGCTGCACACTCTCCACTCTGAGGCTCCAGTCACTTCCCAGAACTGATGTTGCACCTTGCTGTGTCACCAGAGGAACGACACACTGCAGCACCTCTAGTGAGGGTTGCAAAATTTTTTTTTTAAATAAAAAAAAAGGGAGGACAAGGCCTTGATCAAGGGCTATAAGTGGGTGGGCCTAGATTATTTATTTAAGGGAAGATGCATTGTTTCTCCAAGGGGAAAGGAAGCCACAGTGGGAATTATCTGAGAGGTTCTAATTGGATTTGATTGGACAATTATTTTTATATCTAAAAATAAGTTTACTTAGGTTAAAAAGGAACTGTTCAATTCTGAGAGTTTAAAAAAAAAAGAAAAATGAATTTGAATAAATCAGAGTGCTAAATATTCCTGTTACTCAAATGCAAATGTTACTCTATGCACCCACCACATTCAAATTTGAATACCAACAACTTAAATGACACTTTCAAAAACAAAAGCTTGCTTCACCCCCCCCCCCCCAAGAAATTTCTAGTGCCCTGTCCCCCTCCTTTTAAAATCACATTTCTCTGGCCTCTTGACAGCCCAGGCACGGTGGGCTTCTACAATATGCATTCACCCACTCAGGGCAAATTGCAAAACCTAAACCTCCACTCCTTAAAATGCCACTTAGGCTATTCACAGGACTATGTTGGGCTTTAAGCGCCTGGGAAGTAGAAATCTTTGCATCTATAAGCAATGCTTCTGTCTGATATTATTCAGCAAAACATCTGATGAAAGGATTTTATATTTCAAAGGCAAGACCTGAAAAGTGGGCTGAAATCTTTGCTACCCTGTGAGACTAGGATCGTTTGACTTACACATTTGCTGCCATTGTATCTTAAGACACAAACCAAGAGCCTGTTGGTCGCAGGTAATCACAAATTCAAAGTTATTATTGTGATATATTTTGTGAGGGTCAGAAAGCACAATGTACAAGATGGATTATCTTGATTGCACAGATTACTTTCTCCTCACAGATCCAAAGGGGGAATACTTAACAACTGAAGTGGGGAAGGCCGGGCTTGGTAAACAATGCTGGAGGCTGACTTACAAAGGGGCCATTGATGCTTCTTAGAGTGGGTTCTTTGGGGGGCAGAGAAGGCTGCTATCAAGGGGGTTTCAGGCATTCTTGCTGGCTCTGATATTCCTAAAATTCTCAGATTCTTAGTGGTCTCTAAATGTTTAAATACTTAAATTCAAGCATTTATCACTCTTTGGGGACTTCTGTAGAATTTATTTACATTTGGAGTTACTATTATCAGAGCTCATTTTAAAAATATTAGCAAAAAAAAAAAGTAGTCTATTTAAAAGTATTACCACAAATGCAATTCCTTAAGACAAATCTCCAACATTTAAGAAAAAATGCCACCTGCAAGCTGTAAATATGTACGTTAATTTTTCCCCATGGTATTTGCTTTGGCTGTGACCTACCCTAATATTCATTTGAACAAGGGCTAAAAATTGTCAAACTAAATTCTTGTTTGAGAGCTGAACTCTACTGCCAGTTTGAAACACACATCCAGGTTTAGGGAATATGTTTTGTTTGTCTTGGCTGTGACACAGGGCAGAGCAGTTTCCATCCCATTCGAATGCATTCAAGAGAGTTTGAAATATTGCACAATAAAAGTCATTCATTATATCTGTCTCCTTTCCCTTCCAAAAACAAAAATGGCTGCCCCGTTCCAAATCTACACAGGGGGCAGGAAGAAGGGAGGCAGAGGGTCACTGGAAATCACCCAAGACTAACACCAGGTTTTTCAGGTTTGAGTTAGGGAATATTTAAAAATCTTCATTCCCAATTTATACTCAAAACAAGAAAAGACAAAGATTGGTTGCCTTGGATTATTGCTGTTATGAACAATTAAAAAGGAGACACATTGTATTTGCTCAAATGTTTATAAAATCGTACATAAAATCTTACGCTTTACATTTAAGTCCCTGGCATCTAACCTACAAATGTAATTGAACCAAAATCTTCTTTTGCCCATTTTCTCTATAAACTTTTAAACTGCCTGACATTAATTTTATACTGAAAAAAATTATTCCACTGTTAGCAGCAGACATTTAGAAGAATCTATTTTTGCAAACACCTGATGCTATTTAGTGGTTATTTGATGTGAAACAAAGAAAAAAATTGACATTTATTTCCTTGCTTGGCATCCAGGATAACAGAACACTTCTAGCTGTTTGGTTTTAAATGGCAAAAACATAAAGACCACTACCAAATCACTATATTTAAAATTACAAAACATTACTAAAGTAGAATGAATAAGTGGGTGAATAAGGCCATGAAAATAAAATTAGCTGTAGTAAATAGATCTAATAGTTACCTTTAAAATTTCGGAGATTAAAAATTCACACACATACACAAGGATTTGGAACTTTTTAAAGTTTATATAATTTGAATTTTCTTCTAACCCCAAATGCCAATTGTTTGCATCCCTGCAGACCACTTGTAGCACAGCATGTAAACTTAAGCAATTTAGCCAATTTGTACACTTTGAATAAATGAGAAAAAAAATGCTAAGTTCACTTGAGTATGGAGAGAGGGACAGTTTTTATACTAAACCAAACTATAACAAAAACTTTAAAGTTAGCTCTCCCACCAATTGTCAGAAATTTTGTGGTAAAAGGCAAGCCTGCATTTTTCTTTAATGTGCCTGCTCACTTATTTTCCCCTTTTCATGTGTGATAGAATACTTAACAAATATAAAAGCAGTTCCAGAAAATACTTGAATCCCAACTTCATCCAAACCTCCAAAAATCTTTCCAATAAATGCTTCAGGTCATAATCAGGCTAAGTATGATCTTGGTTGAAGATGTGAAATAAAAACATGTATGCGGTGAATGGCAGTGATTAGTCAAATTCTCCTTTAGGGCCATCTTGTTATTTGTAGTCTGTATCTCAGTTTCATAGACAACAGACAGCACTGAATGATGTACAAAAAATAAACACCAGAATATCAGACAGCTTGAAATTGTCAGGCCATGGTACTTTAACAATTGTAGGGCCAAATCAAGGCTATGCAGTGATTCTCAAATTTAAGACCAAACCCCCATTTTTTTTAATGTACAATTATTTGTTAAATGAATTTTAATCCCACCCCACACCCTCAATCTAGGATTTCAAACCCTCAGGCAAATCCTTCACAAATCCTGTCTACAGTCAGACTTGGTAGAACAGAGAGTTGAATAACCATGTGAGATTATTTTAAAATTTTGTTCCCTACAATCCGCTGTGTGCAGTCTAGTTTCAGATGTATGCTTCATCCAGATGTATTCACACTAAGAATACAAAGGAAGCAAAAATGATTTAAAAACTTGCATGAGATGAAGACAACCTGTAACAACCAGGTCCAGGAGTGGTTAACAAAGGGACATCAGGAACACATGTGCCTTTTGGAGCTTCCACCGGTGGCTCTGAGACGCCTCGCCAGTGGACTTCTTTATAACCATGCCCTAGACTACTGTTCTGCCTCCCTGAAGAAAACTGAGCTTCAGAAGACAATGATCACATTTAGAAATGAATGTCTGGCATAGTTGTCAAATAAATGCCTGACAGAGATATTAATAAATCTATAATCTGCTCACCTGGAATGACTTGGTGTAGGGAAATTTTCCATGTTAAGAAATAATTCACAAATGCTAAGTTCACTTGAGTATGGAGAGGAACAGTTTTTATACTAAACCAAACTATAACAAAAACTCAACTTATGAACACAAATGAACTAGTTCTATTAGATAATTTAATCTTTTGGAACTTATTTTAATTTCCCTTTATTTCTTCTATCCAAAGTTCAGTATCCAAAAAGAGAATTACTTCTGGACAATTGACTCTTACAGTGACTCTGGGTCACAATTTTAAATCACGAACCATAGTAAATTAGTTTACAGAAGACTGGGATGAATGCACAGCCATGCCAGGGAAACTGGTCTGCTTACCTTATTACTGAGAACTTTTTATTACTAACCTGGCTTCTTGTCCCCTAAAGGTAGTACCTGCAGGTCTGGGTATAATTGAAGGTCCCAGAAAGAAATGGTTGACCTTTTGCCTCTACTGCCCCCAACAAAGAACTTTAAACATGGTCTAACACTGGTCAGACATATAGATCAGTGGAATAAAGACCAGAAACAGACCACACATATAAGGCCAAATGATTTCAACAAAAGTCCCAACATAATTCAATGAGGAATGGATACGCTTTTCAACAAACGGCACTGGATGACTTCCACTAAAAACACACACACAAAACCCCACCCTTGCCTTACACAACATGCAAAGATTAACTCAAAGGAGACCTAAGACTGAAATGATAAATGAAACTATAAAATTTCTAGAAAAAAACAGAAAATCTTTGTACCTTCAAGTTAGGCAAAGATTTCTCAGGACACAAAAAGCAACCCTTAGGGGCTGGGGTTGTGGGCTCAGTGGTACAGAGCTCGCCTAGCAAGTATGAGGCTCCACATGAAAATAAATAAATAAAATTAAGGTACAGGGTCCATCTACAACTAAAAAAATATATATATTTTTTTAAAAAAAGCAACCATTAAAATATAATGCACCAAAATAAAAAAATTTGGACCAAAAAAAAAAAAAAAAAACCAACCCCAGTAAAGCCCTTGTATCCAAATACTTAGTAATCTTTCAACTCAATAATAAACAATAACACCAAGTAACATGGGCAAAAGGTTTGAACGGACAACATAGACGATAAGGATTGCAAACAAGCGTAGGAAAAGATGTTCATCATGATCAGTCACTGGAAAACAAACAGCTGGTGGTAGGAGTACAAAATGGGAAAGTACACCAATTCCTTAGAAAGGTAAACTACTTCAACCATCCAGTCCAAGAGCCCCGTCTCTTAAGTATTTATCTAAGATACAAAAAAAGAACCATACGTGAACATTTATAGCAGCTTTATTCATATTACCTAAAAAACACAATCCAAATTTCCAGAGTAGTGGTACATCAATAAACTGGAATACTACTCAGCAACAAACAGGTATCAACTACAGGCAGCATAAATGAATCTCAAAAAAGCAGACATGAAAAGTTATATACAGTATGATTCTACTTTTATGACATTCTGGAAAAGAGAAATATAACGACAGAAATCAGCAAAGAAGGACTGGGTTCGGACTCAGGTAGTGGAAATGTTCTATCACTGACTGCTGCAGTGGTCACAGGACTATAAATTTGACAAAATTCAAACTGCTCTAAAAGAGTAACTTTACTGTAACTTATTTTACCTCAGTAGGCTAGACTTTTAAAAAATAGCTCTTTCATTCTCCAGCATGAACCAGGCATGATCAATCACTGCCTCCTAATTACAGTAGTTCTAAGCCTTCTTCTCAATTCTGGCACCCCAGTTGAAAGTGGGGCAGTGAGAGAAAACAGAGGCAGAGTGGCTGTAAGTGGCAGAAGAAAACGAGAGAAAGAAGGCAAGGATGCGAAAACGTAAGGGGCAGGTTGCCAGTTAAGATCCAGAAGAGAAGTCAATTAACCATTTTACTTTAATTTTGAGGAATTTCTTTTACATTTCCACAAGCCCCATGTGCCACATTTTCAGTGGCAAAAGCTGGAGACAGTTCCCATCCATTACTAAGGAGATGGCTACCTGAATTACAGATAGCAAAAATATGCAATTCTATGCAAGGCTTAATTGAAAAGGTCTAGGACTGCTCACAGCAAGACTGAAGGACTCTCATGGTATTTTGTTGACCAACAAAAGTCGAGTTGCAGAATGGCACATCATGATCCTGGTTAGCAAACAACAAAATCGTACTCCCTGTGCATGGAAGAAAGTTCTGGAAGACCCCTGGCAGCTGTCAGTGTTTGCACACAGAGAGCTTCAACAGGAAGGTGAAGCTACACTGACGTCTGTCGGGGTGGAGGGAAAGGAAGACAGTTGTCAATACTTCTACTTCAAAGCTTTGTACAGTTCTCTGCCTTGTTCAATAGACACCTATTATTTCTGCGATTAAAAAATAAGGGGAGGCACCGGCAACAGCAAATAGGAGTTGCCCGGGCTTGTAGGTTTCAGAAGGTAGGGGGGGACTTCAGATACCATGCTGCCATCTCCTGGAACACTTAAGAATCTGTAGGAACAGAGGCAGAGGAGCTAAAGGATCAAACATGCAGGGTGAGTTCCTGCAGCAAAAAAAAGGCAAGGCAAGGAAAAACATTTTGAAGTCAACTTTTTGATTTCACCACTAAAGAAAAGAAAAAAAAAAAAAAGAAGCCTTGATGAAATACAGAAATTAATTTTTTACAAATCTGATACAGAGACTTTAGGTAGATAAACTATTCATAAATATCAAAATATTTATCAATGGAACATTTTAAAACCAACAGAACTTGTAAAAATGCGTATATATTTTTAGCTGTAGGAGTTAGAAAGTGAGAACAAGTTTACTTCAGAAAAACCCAAGCCAAAATCACAGATCAAAATACTTTATCCAACCTCATTAGCACTTTTTGAGAATTTTTTTTTAATGTGAATTTTTAAAAATTCAAATATGGTTGAGTCGGCATAATAAATTAGAACTAGTGGCAAGTAACAATCATTAGCTTTTTGCCTTCGTATTGAACAAGGGGAAATACAAAAGTTGTTTTTGAAACTCAAAGTCCTCTAATATTTAGGTGTCTGAAAGGTTTATTATTTTTTCATTTTTTTTTAATTACCAAAATCAAAAAGCTTCATATGAAGTTAATTAGTTTTTGTTGTTCTTTCTTTTTTGGTTGTTTTCAAGGGAACTGATTTGGTAATCACATCAAATCATAAATGGGAAAGGAAAAGGTCCATAAATAATTTACATGTAAAGATAAAAGAAATTTTTAAACAATCCACCCTTGAGCAGAAGAAATTGGGGATCACTTGAGTGTTAATGTAAAATACATTCGTCTTTAGCAGCAGGAGTTCCAGACCTGCCGGTGCCAAGGAGGTAACAAATAGTCTCCATCTACAAGGGGGAAATGGGCTGCTCAGCAGGAGCTTTCTTCCCTGTTGTGTTATTTATAGGGAGCCCTATTTGTTAACATGTTTCTGCTATTATGGCAAGGGAGAGCTTAATGATTTAAAGGATTTCAGAGACAATTGCTCAATGATACAATGATTTATGTGCATTCACAAATTCCAGATATATAGTAATTTAGATTTTCAAACTGCTGTCACCAAAACAGCCGGCAGGAAATATTATAAAAGGTACCTAAAGAAGCTGAGACAAGTGATAGTACCGGAAATTATGAACTGCTGGAAAATGCTGTGCCAATACAAACCAGTGACCTACCACCATGTATTATGTTAGTAAACTACTTTCCTAGTAAGTTTCTACCTTTCAAAATTTTTTTTTTAACCACAAATCATGAATTAAATGCCAAACTACCTGTGACTTATTCAAATCATTTGGGAATCCAGGCTTTAAAAGAGCAATCTTGTTTGAAGAAAAGAATGCTTTCATATTGATGTTATTTTTAAATTATATATTCATTTATAAAGATGGATTTATAAAATTCTGACTATTGAAAATTTCTAAAAATTCACATTTAGAATTTGATTTTAACTTAACTATTAAAGTAAAAATTTCATTTGAAATAGATAAGGCAAGTCTTCAAAGCTTCTCTTAAATTGAACCCAAAGAGAAAACAAGCTTCATAATTTCCATTTTCCTAATTGTTAAAATATTTAAGCACTTTTTTGTCATATCATAAAACACTTATCACCCCACATTAAGCCTTCAAGCTTGTATTACTTCCATCTTCATAAAGTTCCACATTTCTATACATTTGTCTTTTGCAAAAAATAAACTGTGATATAAGGATCAACCCTAAAGGTTGCTTTTGACAACAGAGTCTACACCTTCAGTGGTAAGTAAGTACTCTCATAAAATAAAGATTCAGAGACATACTGTTGGGTCTAAAAACAATCCTTTTAACAAAATACTAATAACAGCATTTACCATTTTGGGGGAGAACATACTTAACAGAATTTTTTTTTTTTTTGAATGATGCAGAAATGCACTTATTTCTACTTAAAAGCCAGTTCAGATCAAGTGATTTTATTGATCTGAAACTTTTGAGGCACTGAAGCTGAACAAAGGATGGAACTGAAAGAGAAGATGCTCCTGAGCAGGGACAACTACCTCATCTACTGCAGATGCTGCTGGGGAAGGGCTGCATCCTATTTTACTTTGCCTGTCTCCACCCCTTGGGAGGTGGGCTAGGGGCTTCCTCCCCTCTTGGGAAAGGCTCTTCTCCTGCAGAGGTTGGGCTGAGTGACACTGTGCCTTGCTGGAGAGTGTGGGTGCACAGAAGCTCCTCCTCCTCCTCCTCTGCTCAGGTAGGCGCGAACACTCAGCAGCCAGATCCTGGCTGCTCTCTTCACCTGAGGCAGCGACCACCACACGGGGGTTTTGTCTGGAAGACAGAGCTTCTTTTATGGGGGACATATTTCCCAGGCTTCTGCAGTCAAAAGTACTTATTGTTCTCCTCCTTGATTTTTGGGAAGTGGGAGGACATGGAGGTGATACCCACATAAGCCCTTCACTTTCCGAACTTTTTTGGAACCTTGAGCTTCGTCGCACTTTGGTTTTACCATTTTCTCTCTGAAAGATTTGTTCTAAACTAATTTCTAAAGAGCTTCCCACACTGTAGGAAGGTTCGTGATTCCCGTTTTGTTCCAAATGTAGATTCTGACCATCAGAATAACACATTGAGCGTCTTCTATGTTTCTTTTCTCTGCAACTCATAATGCTATTTTCTGGGGATTTTCTTCCCACATTATCACTGTTGCACTTAGCTTCTTTTATATTTCCAATTAGAACATCTTCTAAACAATTAAATTCTTTGTGTGACTCACACATGAAAGGGCTGCCCTGCAGTTTCCCCTCGGCAGCAACTACTAAGTCTTCTTGTTTCTCATACCTAATATCTTCTGAAATTTTCAAGGTTTGACAGAGCTTTTCTGCATTCTGACCAGCAGCAGCAGATTCCTGGCACTGAAGGATAAAATCAGGTTTCGGGTGATCTGACACAATGTGTTCTCCCATCACAGAAGCACAAGAAGCTTGACTGTCCTCGGTCTCAGTCTTAGTCTCAGTTTTTGATTCATTTTCACTTTCCAACGTATTTTCTGCTTTTGGAATGTTCCCGTTGTCTTTGGTGTCCATGGTATTTGTATTGGGGTCTTCCTCAGAAGTAACACTGCCAGGCAACGTGGAGGTTTTTATGTAAGAGCGGCAGAGTCCATACACATCAGATTCACCAAGGCCTTGCTGCACGTGCAGATCTTTGGGGTTCTGAGGCCAAAGAATGTTTTTTTTAACTCGAATTTTAGGAGGTGTCTCTTCTTCCAGTTTACCATTTGAGTTGCAACCATCTAGGGGCACATAAATATGTTTAAATCTAATTAAAAAGTAACAGTGGAAACTCAAGTTTATTAAACAGGTGCTTTATTGAATGACTGTGTCCTATTAACATGACGTTTAAGTTTTCAAAAATTATAAAACCTACAAATGCTACACTACACTTGTCCCCATTTGTCATTCTCCTCCTCCTTTCTTAGCTGTTCCCCAGTCCTCAGGTTAAGAAAACAGCTATTCAACGCATGAATTAACAAAGCACACAACCTCTGACTATGAAAATGAGTGGTACCTTAAATTGCTTCCTTTATTCTAACACACTTCCCACACTACAAGGTCCATTAGCATGAGGCTACCATATTTCCCATCTCCCTGAAAATAAATTACTAAAAATGGGCAACATTACGCTTCTAAAACTTATTCTATCTACGTCCCTGTATTTCATGATGCTAGGGACAAATTTACAATGAAAGAGATGAATTTGGAAAAATCTTGGGGATTTGAGGACTCAGTAACTAAAAGGGCACATAGCTCTCATATTCTCTGATAAAAAATTATACAAAGTGCCCTGTACTTTCAGAACCATGTTTGCTTTACATCTACCCTTTATTCCTCAACCTTTGACTCAACTGCATCCTCCACCAATGTGTGCTGCACGCAGCCTTTCACGAGTTTCAGACACTTTACAGGTAAAAAATGTCATCATCAAGTATGAGGTACGTAACTTATCCTAATGAACTCAGGCTAAGCTCTGTTCTAAATCTCAGTACTATTTATACTGTAATCTCAGAAAACAGTGTTTTCAATTGGCTAGTCAAATGAGTATAAAAAATTTTAAACAAAATAAAAATTGAAGATATATAAATCTAAAAAACAATGTTTCAATCTGAAATTATATCCATGACTAGGGTATTTAAAATCCTGTCATGTAAAGTTAAGAGATTCACATAGGTCAAGGTCCACTCAATGCCAATCAGTGAATATGTCACTTGGGCTTTTACAGCTTTAAAATAATCGGTATTTTTGTATTTTTCATAAAATTCAGCATACTAGAAAAGAAGGTAGGAGACAGGGAGGAAGGAAAAGAGGTGGAGGGAACGTGAAAGACAGATGGAAAGGATAGAGAGGAAGGAAAGAAAGAAGAAAGAAAAGAAGGGAGGGAGGGAGGGAGGAAGTTGTCTTGAATGCTTGAAGTTGTCTTGAACTTTGAGTGGGTAACACTATTGGTTAAAAAACGCTTCAAGTATTCAAAGAATTTTCCTCAAAATGCAGACAGCATGATGATTTCTTAGAACATAAGTAGCATTAGGCCACATTAAGAAAGAGATGGGTGACAGACCTCCTGTAACAAGGTGTCCCACATGAAAAGGCAGGGAGAGGCACAAGTGACAGGTTGGTCGTTCATTTAAATTCTTGCTCTATCCTCAGGCTGAGAAGCATGTAGAAACTAAGAGTCCACATGCTTGCTTCATTCTCAAATCCTAGGAATTGTAAATCCTCTACAGCATACCGCAAATAGGAGGCAGGCTGTAAACAGGATGATTGGCAAAGGCAGCTATTTTAAAAATGATTCTATTAAACAAACAAACAAAAAAAAAAAACACATCAAATGGACACACATCATCTTCAGCATGATTTAGCCAGGATTTAAACTTAAACATTAAAAATCAGATGTAATGTCTACCCATTTTTTAATTTAACTAGGATATTAATTGATTTGATCTTCACTTATAAACAAAAACCTTCAAGGGGCTCAAGCTCTGTTTATAAAAAATATTTCTAGAAGATGCTTAATAGCACCAATTCTAATGAAACTTCATGAGGCAAGATTTTTTTTGTTTTGTTTTGTTTTTGTTTTTTTTAAGTTTTTGCTTCAACTCATGTATCTTTTACTGAGCCATGAGCTTAAGGGATGGACTGCACAACCAATAGAATTTATTTTAACAAAATGCATTAATAAGCAAAATGATGAAAAAATAGAAATTATTTCCCCTGAAATTATATGCAAGTCTGGCTGGAATTTACAGATAGGACACAGAGCTCCCATCAGATTCGGACACTAGCCCAAGCCATCTCAAAAAGTTATAAACTACAGCTTCCTTTTCTTAAAATTCTCACTGTAATGGGGAAATAATGCTACTTTTATTTACGCACTGTTTATTGAATGGGAAATAGGGAAGAAAGGATGAAATAGAACAAAGAGGGTAAAGAGATGACATATACAGAACTAACAGGATAAAGAAGGGATACCTGAACACATCCTCCGGACGCCTGGAACCAAAGGTGTCATCTCGCAGACCTCAGGCAGCTCAGGAATAGGACTTAGGAGGGGCTTTTTGGAAGCCATTTCTCTTTCCCCATATAAAGACTTCTGAACTCTTTTCATCCACTTCCCTTTTTTCTCTGTGCAACTTTGTGAAACCTAAGAAGATATGTTAAAAATACTATGAGAAAGATGTAGCACAATGCACAATTTTGATCTTCTAACTTCTAAAACATCTCTAATTATCATTCACAGATTTCTGCCCCCCTCCCCCCAGTGCTGGGATTGAATTCAAAGCCTCATTCATGCTAAGAAAGTGCTCTACCACTGAACTATACACCCACAGCCCTACAGTGATTCCCCCTGACCCAAGAAAACAGGTTTTATTTAAACAAGGGTTTAAATACATTTCATAACATTAAAACTGGAAGGGAAAATGAAAATCAAAAACCAGTGTATCACTTCATGTGGCACTAAGCAGCCATTGCTAATAGGCTGCAAGCTCCAAGGCCAACTAGGTATTTGACCCCTTGTCAAAAGTTTAACTGCTCTTAGGCTGGCCTCACATTCCATTGTTTTGGACATACCTTAGTTAGAATATGTCTGGTTAGAAAGATCTTGGCGGCAACCCTGATGGATGTCTTATTACCTCACTGGAGGGAAGGTGGCCTCAAGTTCTGCCCACTTGGGCAGGTTTGGGACACCAGCACCTCTTTCTATTAACAAAGGCTCCCTCTAGTGGCAAAGAGATGTTGCTGCTTACCCCATCCCCTTCTGATTCACCAGGGTTGTTAAGGTCATGATACTCTTAGAGTATCTACTAAGGGAGAGCAGAGGAAATTCTGGCCAGACATAGCCATACATGATCCTGGGGCTCTGGGCTTTGCTGAACGATCACATTGTTTTGTTTCAGGCTGGACACTACCAGGTGCCTACTGCTTGACTGATATAAATGAGGGACTTCAAGACTAGATAGTATGGCTCTTTTCAGTTTATTGCATGAAGAAGTTACACTAGTTCAAGTTAAAAGTAGCCCCCAAATGGTTACATTATACAAGCTGTGAGGTTTTCAAACTGGTGACAAGGGACAGAAGGACAATTCTACTCATTGTAAGAAAATCCTCACTTAAGCTTCAGTGAGCCACAGCACTTAAAAGTCCATGAACTGATCATCCTTAGTCCAGTCTCTGCCAGGAACAGGCACATGTTCTTGTGCTGGTCGCCCTGCAGCTAAATTATGTCTCCATATTCTGGATGCTCAAGTGCAGTACCATTGCAGGCAAATTTTTTTTTTCTCAAACACCTTCACTAGTTTGCTTTTATCAGGGTCTTCTTGCCATTTCTCTGGTGAACTCATATGAATATAATCCTCAGTGCCAGCAGGAAGCCAGTCGTCACCCTTCTTGCATCAGCAAAAGGGTACAAAGAGTAGAGGCTCTGGATAGCAGACAGGGTGCAATTCCCTTTCCCTCGGAGGCAGTGGTCTGTGGAAGGCGGCTACACAGGAGAAGGAAGGTGAAGGGACTCAAAGGGGAGGCTGCGGAGTTGTTGCTGGCGGCTCAGTGACTGGGGCCTACAGTGATTTTTTTTTAAAGATAATTTTTACAGAAAAACTTATCATGATCAGTTATTCCATTTAAAATTTTAGGCATAAGTCATGAGTAGGCAGTAAGGTAACTTAGGCAAAGTCAGATATAATATGATGCAGCACTCAACAGATTGTACCGTAACTTTCTCTATTTCTACAAAGCATTTGCCAAAATAAGTACTGGATAAGTGAAAAAAAGAGATTAGATGACACAGAGTTGGACAGACCTAAGACATGAGATATTTATAACTAGGATGGAGTCTTGATGACTTAACCCATTGTCCCAGAAGCACAACACCTTTAAAAACTTAAATATATAATTATAAAACACATTTATTGTAAGGATATAATTATGGTATTAATATATTTTGTTAATACTATAATAATTATATACTTAATATATAACTATTTTATTTAGTATATTTTATTACCAACCTATTTTAATGCACTTGTGTAAATTTCAATATAATAGTCACAGATTTGAAAACTTGGGACTTAATGGGATAAGATTAACTAGCATGAGGCTATTTACTGAAATGCTATGGGACCTAGCTGGGAGAAGAAACAATACATATGTACATAGAATCTGAAGATCACACAAAGATAAATGAACTGACTCAATAAACAAATTAATCAAGATAAAAATGAAGAAATTGGAGAGGCTGGGGTTTTAGCTTGATGATAAAGCAACTGCCTAGCAGACATAAGGCCAAGACCCTGGGTTTAATCTCCAGGGCAAAAAAAAAAAAAAGTCAGAGAGAGTTAGATTCTAATGAACATAAGTAGAAGATGGGGGAAAAGATTTGGCAAGAACTGATTTTTTAAGCATGTTGTTTCAGAAAAATTAAACACACCACTTAAATTTCTGGACGGCAGAATTACATCCAATTCTGAGTGTCCTCTCCGCAACTGAGATATGGCATAAACAGGGACTCAAAGTGAGGTGGCACAGCAGATCTGGGGTTGCACATACAGTACATAGCCAGGGCATAGAAACAGCAGAAGCCAACACAGCAAAGAGTCTTCACATGAGATGAATCAAAGCAAGGAAGGCTCCCTGCATGGTACTTTGGGTTATAGTGAAAAAAGCTCATTTGGGTGACAGCATATATGATTTAGGTGACATTAATAGTATGAACAAGTGGATGAAGACTCAAGAGTACTGAAATGGCATGGAACTGTGTGTTCCTTGAGACATCTCGTAAAAATAATAAAACACAACATTCCATGGAAAAATAATTTTAGAACTCTACAAGAATGTTACTCTGGTTGATATATTGTACACACTTAATATAAAACTGAGTTCTCAATATAAATAATCTTTATACACATATGGAAAATGCTGAGTTCCATATTTTATCAATACATATATTTTGCATGAAATAACTGTTGACATTCCATTGAACTGGGGAAATGCTGCCTTAGTAATGGCTGTGGAAGCCATGAGAAAAGAAATATCTCAAGGTGAGACTCACTGAGGAGCAGCTACAAGAGACAATTGGCCTCTGGTGTGAGACAGACTGGGTTCAAATTCTGATTCTGCAACTTAACTGTTTTATGATCTTCGGCAAGAAAACTCAACTCTGCACCTGCTCCTCCTCCTGTGCAGAATGGGAATCACATCAGCACACACCATACTAAGTTGTAGCAAGTGTTACATGAGTCTGCAGCTGAAATGGTTAACATGGGGCTTGGCCTGTACAAAGGGTTATGTTAGCTATTCTTCTTCTTCCAATTCCTTCCCGTTACTTTGAAAATTGATATGGGGAAAAATACTTTAAAACACATTTTGACTGCCAGGTGTGGTGGTGCATGACTGCAACCTCAGCGGCTCAGGATGCTGAGGCAGGAGGACCACAAGTTCAAAGCCAGCCTCAGTAATTAGTGAGATTCTGAACAACTTAGTGAGACCCTGTTTAAACATAAAAAAATAAAAAAGGGCTAGGGATGTGGCTCAGTGGTTGAGCCCCCCTAGGTTCAATCCCCAGTACCAAAAAAACATTTTTTATTGACAAATTATACATATTTATGGTGTACATAGTATACATGTGGAATGGCTAAATCAAACTAATCATCTTATCCACTACCTCACATACTTTTTAGTATCAAAGTATGCTATGTTTTATAGGGGGGCATTGGCCCTACATGGTAGTTTAATACACTATGGTCAATGTCACCAGGTTATAAACTCCAGAAGAGTTTCTCATTTATAGTAAGAAAAAAGAATCCAGTCTGGAGATGTGGCTCAGTGATCGAGAATTTGCCTAGTATGTGCAACGACCTAGGTATAATTGCCAGCACTGCAGAAGGAAAAAAAATAACCTAGCATAATTTTGGGAATCTTTTTTTATGTTAGATTGGTCAAACGCTACAACAGTGTCTTGCATGTAGTAGGTACTCAAATACAAATGAATCAATGAAATATCATAGAAAAACGAAGTACCCTCAAGCTTACCAATTTGCTAAATGTGACTGAAAGACTAAATTTGTTTATATGGTCATGAACTAATAATAATAGTACACACACCACCAAAAAATAATAACCAAAGCATCTCAAGTCTGTCCTGAAAATACATCCAGCAATGCTGATCTTACCAATGAAAAGACTTCATCAGCGAAGGCTAGAAATTGATCAAAATTTCAATTTACCCTGCTTTACTCATAATGTAATCAATGAAAGAAGCCACATCAGAATGGAATTCTTAGGAAGCCACATGATCCAGAAACAGGTTGGTTCGTGGGGGCAGACAAAAGATAACTGGAGGTATTGCCCCCAAAGCAGTCCAATTTTCCCCAAAATCAGATTCTTCTCATATAGTGAAGGAGGTCATGAAACAGAAGTATTTTATTGCTTTATTTGCATAATTAAGACAAAATAATTTTCAGAGACTAGTTTTTTAAAAATTATTTTAAAATAGCTAGGCATGGCTGTAGTCCTAGTACTTGGGATGTTGAGACAGGTGGGTTACTTGAGCCCTGGAGATGGAGGCCAACATGGGTAACACAGAAAGATACCATCTTAAAAAAAATAAATAAAATAAAAATATTTCAGGTACACAGTAACCAATCAAATTGTATAGGCAAGCTTGGAATGATGAAACACACAATTCTCTATCCATGGTGTTCACTATTCCTGGTTCTAGTTTTAGTTCTTGTGGCCAGCCCCCTCTCAACAAATTAGGACCTCATATTGCTGTATTTATCCCTTTTTAAATACAAAATCTCAAACACCCAAATGTAAGGAAATAGTATACTGAAACCTACATACTTAACTAATTTCAACAATTACTAATACAGAAATCATGGTTTATTTATAATCCCCTGCATCCAGAGTATTTAAAAGCAAATCATTTCATCTGAAAATCTTGCAATCTAAGAGATAAAAATTTTCTTTAAAAATCAGTAAGAAATACAAATCAGTGATAAAAAGGAACTACCAATACATATAACCTAGACAAATTTCCAAGAACATGCTGAATGAAAAATGCTAATCCCAAAGTTATAGGACATGAGATCACTTATACAATAATCCCAAAATGACAAAATTATAGAAATGAAGACAAGATTGATG